CTGTCATGTCCTTAAAAAGTTAATTATATAACATAGAAAACATGCATAAAAATATTCATTCTTTTTGCTTATTCTTTAGAAACATAGGTCTTACTCCAATTTTATGTTCGCAGAAAGGGTATAATTCGGTTTTGAAAAACATTTCCAATTCCCGAGTAGGTCTGAACCCGACCTGCCTTTAGGCTTGCATTCAGGGTAACCAAACTACAAGCTGAATATTTTTCGCGTACCGAAAATTATATATTTCCCTACAGTATTAAGAGGAGACCATATGGTGTTCGCAAAATTCAGCAGTGAATATGAACCATATCGTTAACTTTACAAGCCACATTGGTGAATTCGGAGGTAGGACGTGTTATGTACGGCCATTTCACGGTATTAAAAAATCTCAAAATTAGAAACTCCTTCAAAACTGAATTATCTCTCTCATTTGGGTATGAATTCGGAAGAAATCGTAATTTTCTACCGAATTAGAGAAATGATGAATATCTTTATGCATGTTTTCCATGTAAAATAACTGCATTTTTAAGGGAATTGAAAATCAAGGCAAAAATGCATGCCACTTATGCAGGTATCCTTTACAGAGCACTTTTAACCGCAGCCGGAAAGAAGTTTGTTCAAAGGCCGGCATATTGGTGTAACTGAATTATTCTGTAATGATGCTGCACATTTATAAATTTTATAACCGTACTTAATGATTTTTTTCGAAACGAAAACCCATTTCAGAATTCCGGTTGACATTTCATGAGTTAACCCACCTACTGTGTATGTCAGTTCTAAGTAATGAAGCCTTATTTGCAGTACTTCTTTTTGCATTTTCAGTTGGCATGAGGTGTTTAGGTTTTTAACTAAGTGTCTTGGTTCGTGCATATAACCCGGCTTTCCAAATGCTGGTGATTCGTCTTGCATCTTAACTGATTCCGCGATTTATGCAACCCATTGTGCATTTCTCCCAATATTGTATTCTGTTTGACGGATACCTTAAATCTTTTAAATTGATAATTCTCGTCTTGAGCTGTGCCAGGTTTCTAAGCCAGCGTTCTCTCACTGCACCATTCTATAGTGTCGATCTGCCAATAAAAAAACATTAATGCTTTCAACTCCAACAAAGTGGTATGACAAGTGAGGAAGCGTTATGTTGAATAACTTACAAATTTATTTTCATCCAATTTTCGCGATTTTTTTCCTTGTCCGTGATTACTTTTCCAAAGCAAAATTCTGCTAGGATACCTGTTGGGGGCCGATTATCTGCTGATTCGTGACTTTATAGTTCAAATCAAGAAAATGCTTGATCGCGTTTACTGAGGTTGCTGCAAAAAGAGAGGTCTGCTAATGATTCTTTTTTCTGCGAATTAAAATTAAACAGCGTTTGTAAAACGCCTACTGTTATCGCCGACATCAGGCTTCATGCTTACACTGAATAACCGTTTACGAAATTACAAGTCGCCAAATGAAGACGTCTGTTACTCATGGAACGTCCCCTCTTTGTCGGAATGAACAGCGGGCCAATACCAGTATATACAGTAGGTGCGCTATCTCATGCAATGTTAATCGAACTTCTGCCGTGTGTACAGCAAAATCTTAAGCTATTTCAAACCTATCAGGTTGCCTTATTAAAATGAGCTTATTCTTCGTTGTCTGTCTGGAAAACATGATTACCTAAGTAGTATGAATTTTCGTCTCCGTATTTTTGGTGCTCTCATGAACTCAAATATATTTCATAGAAAAAATGCATATAAATATTCGCTTTTTCTATCATATGGCAGCAAATTACGATCTCTACAAATTTTACACTTAAAGGAGCAGTACCGTTTGGTTTTAAAAAATGTTTTCAATTTCTCTGTAATTTTGAACCCAACCTACCTTTGATTTTGCCTTTAGTGTCTCCAAACTGTAAACTGCATACGTCTCAAGTATGCGACGTCAATAAAAAATTATTTGAGGTATACAAAACTTAACAGTAGATTTAAATCATATAGACGACTTTAAGAGCAACATCAATTAATATGCGGATAAGGTGTTTTGTAAACGGGCATTTTCTGATATTAAAAATTCCACGATAGAAAATAGTTTTAAACCCGGACGATACTCCTTCTTCAAACATAAACTTCAAAGAAGACAACATTTGCCCGTAAAATAGTATACAACAAATACCTGCATGCGTGTCATCCGAAAAATTTATTTGAATTCATAAAGGCATCCAAAGTCGATGGGATGATGTATACTACATATAAGTAGCCGTTTTTACGAAGTGCAATTTCTACAGAATGCCGGAAAGGAGCTTGTTGAAAATCCAGCATCCTGACAAGACTGAAATATTTTGATTCGTCTGCACGGCAATTGATACTAAAACGCGACTTAAGTAAACTTTTCGAGTTGAAAACACACTTCAGAATTTCGGTTTATTTGGCATGAGATAGCACATCCCCTACATGTGCGGCAGACGGTTTGGGAAGAAGATTGGTATTTAAAGTACAAATCTTACTAAACCACTTCCAATTACCTAGCCCAGTGCTTTTGTCCCTACTCGTCTTGAAAGCATGGGTATCTGCGGAAAAAAGTACGACCGCAAGCTCACTACGTGGGAAAAAACTATCAAGAAGCTTCTTTAGGTAAAAACTTTCGGTAATCACAAACTACATAAATGACTTCTGCGTAAAATCTCCTGACGACGTTGACATTTCAAGGACAACTTAAGACTCAGTGGACACCACCGGCGCCAGGAGTCACGTTTATTTCGCCGAGAAAAATACTAGGAGTATAGCGGAGCAGAGCACATTCATCTGAAGAAATATGGAACATCATGCGTGGGAAAGATCTACAAATAATGTCAATTTAAAGTTTTTGATAATCACTGGCTGTATAAGCCATTACTTGGGGAAATCTGCTGAGGAAACAGAGATTCACAACATATTCTCGGATTGGTCAAAGACGCCCAAAGACGGCCGAATTTACCGTTGCTAGCATATGCACATGTATTTCAAGGGCGAAAAGAATACTCCGTGCACCAAATATGATCTGTGCCTCATTTCATTTGCCAGGCGCATTGCAGTTTATCAGTGCCGATATAGTTTTTTACTAAAACGTTTGCTCATTCGCTGGAGTCCTCTTCTCGTCTTTATGTCGAGCGATAGATGATGCAGCGTTCATTCACATAAGTCTGTCTTTTAGGATAACAGACTGCACTAGATGCTCGGCACTTTACTGACCGCATTAACAAATACCGTACATATTCGTGCAGGATGTTTGTCCGAAGACTATCTAACAGATTTCTTGAAAACGTTCCTGTGCTTAAGCTGCTTCTTCACCAAGCTAATCTTATATATAAAAGCAACAAGATTCCCATGTCCAAAGTTTCAGTTTTTTCTCGTTTCACTCTTTTCTACGTCCATTACTATTTACAGTCAGTGAGGCACAAGCGTTAGCATTTGTTGGGTTCTTAAATGAACTAAGGTGCCCCAGTTTCCTGATTAGGTTGTATGGCTGGTGCCTAAAGGGCGCTTACCGAGCAATTAAGGTGTTTTCTTGAATTTGAACTTATTTAACGAGTTGGACCACCTCCGGTGTATTTCACTCTATGTCCCATTCTATGAGATAAATACTTCAGACCTACGTTATTTAAAATCTGTTTTTTTTTAATTATAACAAGTTCACATACTGTTGTACTCAAAATTCTCGTTTTCATTATATGTACCTTTCTAAAGGTCGGAATTACGTGTGGACGTTTTATGCTGTAGTGCAAATGCATTTAAGCAAAAGAGACCATCGAAATTAATTGATAAAATGGATTTTATTTGTTTTCAACGTTTGCCTTTATCTGGTTTTGATTTTTATAAATGAATTTCTTGTTAAGGGTCTTTTTCGAAAACGCCCCCTGCTGGTCTGCTCTGCTTTGCCCGGGAATCGACCCTTTTAGGAGTGGAATTAAACACAGGGGAATATTCCCCTGGAATGAGGGCACACATCTGTCGACAAATAAATATTTCATATTTGCTAATAAAGAGAAAACTATTAACTAGCAATATCGGATTTCTTGCAGCTGGGCCGCATCCAAATATTCTTTTTCGAAAAACGTCGTTGAAACAAATGGCTTCTTTCCATGGTTTAAGAAACCGCGTGCTTTAAGTGGCTTTAAAACGTCTCTCCGAAGAAAATGCTTTAGCCGACGGCCTAACTAGCACAAGTTTTCGTGAAAGACCTTCGTGATTACAGACACGGAGAGTAGAGTTTTAGGTGACTCGCTCGTCATCATAATTCCTGGTTACTTCTTGTGAATACCAACCCACGCCCTGTCCCCGCCGCCCCACAGCGAAGACGTTTTTCCAAAACCCAGAAGTCATTTAAACTGCCCATTACTTAAAAGGGAGGGCATTTAGACATTCTACTCCCAGTGTCAAGGGGCTCGTCTGAGGAGTTATGGTATGGACTTAACTTGGGCGTCAGAGTATTTCCTCCTTCCTATTGGTTGGCTGTTCTCACCTGTCCGAATCTCGAACTGGGAAACTCATGCCACACCACCACCACCACCATTCTTTCACTAGCCCTCCACACGCCTCCTGCCCGCTTAACTGCGCCTCCGCAATCGCCGTTTAAGACGTCAGGCATCATCCTCCTACTCACCGTTGTCCCCACGCGGCTGGGGGGTGGGCGAATTTTGACGCGTGCTGGCTCACGCCAACACAGTGGGCTAGGTAGTTTGCATCTGACCTAGTGTGACTTGTTCTGCGTGACATTCACCAACCGAAGACCCGCTGTCCTCCGATTGGTGCACACACACATACACACCTCTGGAGGAGTGCCAAACGGACCGGCAGCCTTGCAAACTCATCCCCACACGGGCGCGCGGGCACACACGCATGCCCTCAAAGCCACAAAAACCGACAACGGACGACCCACTGTGACAGGAGAAGACGCTGAACAACACATGCGAATGACACTTAAACATTCCCCAAAACAAACACGTAGCTAGAGCCCGGCCCCCACAAACACACGCACAGAAGATGAGAGGTGACACAAACGTCCGCAAATCCCAGATGGCTGGCAGTGGTGGCGGTGGTGTTGCAATCGGAACAGTCAACAGCTTTGGCTGTGGCAAGCAAGGACGAAATAAATCTCAGTCCTCGGCGGGCGTCTTTCATCGCCACAACTTCCACAAGATGGGACTGGGACGTGCTCACTCGACGCATGAGCAGGAGAGCGGCTGGAGACGTAATGGCAGTCGACGTCTGTCATTCTCATCGCGGGATGTGCCAAACTTTGGTGAGGGTGTTGATCAGAAGGTTCTTCCACTGCCCATGAAACCGGCTCCGTCGAACTGGATGGACCGCACGTCCGACAACCAGACACTCATGGAGTCCCGAATCACTGGGAAGGAGTCTAATCTGAAAGGTGGTCTTTTCAGTGGAAGCCGCAGCAAGGAAATAAATCATACCTACCCCCTCGCCCGCATCTTCCTGGATGCTGTTGAACGTGGAGATAAGTCCACGGTGATACGTTGTCTCAGATGTCCACAGCCGGTGAACGTGAATTGCACCAATATGCTCGGACGTACGGCCATACAGATTGCGGTGGATAATGAGAATTTCGAGATAGTTGAGTTGTTGCTGCAAGAACCCAACATCCGCATCGGCGACGCCTTGCTCTATGCCATCCAAGAGGGCGTCTATCGTATTGTGGAGATGTTGATCGATCATCATTCAATAACTAAGGAAGTACTCGGCACCTCCTGGTCCAAACGCGTTAGTCGCTCTGAGGAGAGTCATGACTTCTCAGCAGACATCTCACCCGTCATCCTAGCCTCCATTTGTAACCAGTTTGAAATTCTTCAACTGCTTCTGTCTCGAGGTGCTCGTATTGAGCGGCCACATCGTTCGAACTGCAGCTGCAATGACTGTGTCATGATGAACAGAGAGGATTCCCTAAAGTATTCCCTATGGCGTATGAACACTTACAGGGCGCTCGCAAGTCCTGCGTGGATATCCCTCACCTCGCCTGATCCCGTTCTGGCGGCCTTTAAGCTCTCCTGGGAACTGTCTAACCTGGCTTCCAAAGAGAATGAATTCAAGGAGGTCTTCATCCAACTTTCAGAACAATGCAAAAAGTACGCATGCGACCTATTGGACCAATGCCGCAGCACAGAGGAGGTGTTGGCCGTTTTGAGCAAGTCCTCGGACTCCTCCGACGAGGACGAGGCGCAGGAGACCGAGGAGGAAACCGAATCGACGAAACGAGACCCGGAGGTTGATGTCGATGGCAACACCGAACTGAGACACTTGGGGATGGCGATGGTGAGACGATGTCAACGGCGACTGCATGGTGAGGAACATGTGTTCTCTCGACCGCACTCCTCCACATCCCATCGCGTCGCCTCCGGACATGACATGCACAGAATAGAAGTCTTGCCGGACGATCTGCTCCATCATCCAGCTCTTGGTAGAAGTAATGAAAGTCAGTACACGATTGTGGAGGACTTGGATGGAGCCGACGTGGGGATCCAGGTCAGCCCGCATAACGAAGGCGCGTACTTCGGCCAACAGCATGGCTCAATGCTGAGCCCTCCGGATAGGTCTAGATTTGCTTGTTCAGAAGAAGGGCGCATCAATTCGAGAAAAAATGACTCTCATTTATATGACAAAGAGGAGGAATATGATGTTGATGAGGATGGTGATGCCAAAGAATGTCAACGTGATGTGAACGGTAGACTCGCGGACAGAGCAGAGGACGAGAAAGAGGCAGAGGAGGAGGAGGAGGAGAAGGAATCACAGCTGTATAGCCTGGATCGGCTAAAACTGGCTATCAAATATGAACAAAAGCGCGTAAGTAGCATCATCGTCTTCTCTCAGACCATCCAAAGTTATTCTTGCTCCAACCTTTCCGTAATCATTTTATTGACATTGAAATACTTCATGCTAGCTGTGTTTTAGTCAGCAGAGGTCGTCGTACAGCGACATAATAGATTGATTGTTGACAGAATGCTGCAAAAATGCCTTTCCGTCGACCTCATTTCTCCAGCACGTTTTACCGAAAGTGTTCTCAAATCCGACATTGGAGGTGTCTTGCCTTAAAATCGCGCATTCTTTCTCCTCTTACTCCTACCGCCAGGGTTATTTTAATGCGTTCCCAAGAATCCTCTCAGAATTTATGGTTCATCTGCTGAATATTCGACTGATCATTTCATTTTAAGCGCATTATATAATCTAGAAACGCAGCACCACAGCTTGTATGCTAACGCTAATAGAGTTAAGTGCTTGGAATCTGCGAATTATCTTTGCTATGAAGACGATCAATCTGAAGAATATATGCAGTCAGAAAAGCTAGCTGACGAGCTAGCTTCAGATACCAACGTCTCTGAATTTGTACGCAATCGTCTGCATGGACAGGTGCAATTGTCTTGTCAAAAGGAGAACTATGGTCTGCTGGGGGATCAAAATCCTTATCGGTATTTTTGGCGACAGATATTCCAGGTAGCTGATTTGTTCCTAGAGGAACTAGGCCATTGACGATCTGATTTTGGTTAAATACTGGATTATAGCCTGGGCGTGTCGCGACTTCTGGACTGTTGGACATTAGTTGAGTAAGGTAATTTGAAAAATCATTGTCTGGCATGCTGTCATGAAGTGTAGACTTGTCAGCAAAGTATCGTCTGTTGATGAGATTGAAAGCATTTACTGATTTAAAACAATGCATATGGAATCCTTTATTTTTGGAAAATGATCAGTATGTCACTTAGAGCGCATTTTTAGACCAGCAAGATAGGGATCCTGTCTCCGTGAAAGATGACTTCCGCCTGAGACTGTCCCGGGTAAGGGGATAGGTAGATGTTGATAAATGGGTTGATCCGCATTCAATAAACTCGCCTTCGACCCACTTCAAGAAGGCGTAAGATCACTACGAGAACTTTGTAGGCGACAAATGGAAATTGGACCGCACACGGTCAAACTATAAAAGGAAAAATCAGAAAACTTTGAAGGACCAATTGCTGACAAGGCGACTACTTGCATGAGCTGAAGATCCTCAGTTCCATGGAAAATCTACATCATTTGTATTCCATTCAGTGTTTTATACTGATCCCGACAGTCTACTCAAGTGTGTTTACTAGTAAATGTCTATGGGCTAGTGTGCTTCAAGCGTCGCAACTAAAACATACACGAGAATTTGAAAAGGCACGTGCATGGATAAATCTGCTGGTGTCAATTTAGAATAAATTTCATATATAAGTCTCAGTTGGCTTTGCATTTATTGACAGCAAAATATTTCACAAACTACGAGAGAGCAAATTACTTAAGGCCAAGAAGAATATAAACAGAAATGTACAAAGCCGAGTTTAACATCGCATCAGTTCTAGTACAGATTACATAATGTAAAGCTCATATCCCGACTAATTTCCTGCTTTGTACTTATGACCGCATAGCCAAAAAAACCATATGTGCCAGGAAAATGAATTTCACAGGTCAACTGTTACACGCATTTTGCTATTTTCGGTCGACCGTGATTGGATGCACCAATCGCGAATAAGGGCAGATACTTAGTCGGATTTACTATGATAGATTGGAATAAGGACCGTTAAACCAGGTTTGTGGACTTTGATGGAAATTCAAAAACTGGCATTTGACAAAGTTTATGCATGCCGTTTCGTAAACCGGTGTACGCTGGGGGGAGGTCAATGGGTCGGCCGCCGACTCACTCATTGATTAGCCCACGTTCTACCCCTGTAATTGTTTAAGCTGCAAACGATAAAACCCGGCCTAGAGGCTGCAATAGCGGCTTACGATGGCCGGCTGCTGCCTCAAACGTATACGCGCTCGTGATTTTCGTATTGCTTTGACTGGACTAGCGAACGCACAGTTGCTGCTTTATGACACTTAAGTACCCACCCAGGTTAATCTGGTTTTTGGCACTCATGGCACACTTACACATGAGCCGTTCTTTAGTACATAACACTGCGTTTATTCGCCTAGGAAATGTTTCTACTAGGGCAAGTCATATTTTGCGTTATTTTTTGTTTCTGATTTCTGGAGATTGGTCATGCTGTCATGGCACTATAAAGACTCTAGAGCAACTATTTCACACAAATTTCAATGCCGAAAAATCGTCTGGCGCTGCTATCTGGCTCAGAAAAACTTACGGTAACTTGTATTTGACCCACTTGTTAAAAAATTGACGACTTCGGCGGGATTCGAACCCACATCAGCAAGAGGAAGGCTTGAGTACAGTCAACACTCTAGTCGCTTGAGTCACAATGGTCATCTGGGAACTGTTAGTTTAATTATGTTTACGTCAAGTTACCCGTCCAGCCAACTGCAATACACAGAGTTCACCAAATGCGATATAGTAAGCTGACTGTCCAAGCTAGATTTTCGAAGGGCTCTTAGTCCCCGAATCCACTAGTTCAGGCGAAATTGAACTTTAATCACAGTTAACGATCGTATCATCCAGGGTACACTGTTGGCATGTCTCAATCAAACACTCTCCCCTACTGTTCTCACTGGTGCTGACAGATGAACGGACAGAATTTTGACAGGTGGATGCGTGATGGTTTTCGCAATTATTTAAAGTTTAAACTCTGTGTGCACGTTCTGAACCTGCTAAACGCGGTTCTTCCAACAAAACGCACTCCACCTCACTTTACCAGACGAAATCCTATGATGACGTTGATTCTTTCCAATCGTCTGACTTAGTTTCCAACCAAGAGTATCTGCGCTCGTTACATGTTCGTTCTGCTAAAATGTTCGCACAGAAATTAGTGAACATACGAGAGAAATTGGGCTTTTATTTTCCTCAAAAAAATTAATTTCTGAATTCTGAGCAAATCCTTCGAATCCTACGTTATTCCGATGAATTTATTCCAGACTCAGTCGCTACTGTTTGATAAAATTAAAATGCGGGGCATTTCAAAACGACCGTATGCCAGAAAGCACATGAGAAACCTCGGAACGACACGCTGCGGTGCCGAAACCCTCGTAGTTGAGTCATGCGGCTGTCTATGATCGGCGAAGCACGCGCATCTGTAATTTTAGCTAAGACCTTGCTTTAAGGCACGATGATACCATACTAACAGCACAGGTACTAGCCAAAAGTTCATACACGCGTGTTTCGCCGACATTTTGCCGCTGCATGACGCAGCTGCGAGAGATTCGGCTCGTCAGTGGGTCCCCCAGTATCCCCCCTGTGTGTTTTCTGGTAGATAATTCAATTTATAAATTGTCGCTTTTTAATTTCCTAAAAAATTATCCACGAAGTTGGAGTAGATCAGTTTATTCAAGGTCTATAGGCTCAGACCAAGAATTTTATGCATGAATATTTGGGCCAAAATCCATCGGCCACGCCGGATAACTGAGTTATGTTCATTAACTGCCGACAGGCAGCTAGTAGTATACTTCAGGTTAAGGTGATACCATACTAACAGCACAGGTACTAGCCAAAAGCCCATACACACGTGTTTCGCCGATGTTTTGGGCTGATGGACTTTGACCCAAATATTCATGCATAAAATTCTCAGTTTGAGCTTAAGGACCTTGAATAAACTGATCTACTCCAGCTTCGTAGATAATTTCTAGGGAAATTAAAAAGCGATAAGACCTATGCTGTCAGAGTAGTGAGACATTGTATTCCAAAGAGCAGGGTACTGATTATCAAAATAGACTTTTTTGCTAATTAACAGGGCTGAGATTCGCAAGATTATGACTTTTATTTCTCCAAACGTCGTTCCGTGATGCACTTGAGGATGTTCGCTTATCGCGGAGGAGTGTGGCAGGAACCTACATCCGAAAATATCTCCATAAGGTCCTTGAGTGGTAATTGCGGTTAGAATAAAATTTCAATTTTCATTTTGGACTGTGCTACGCAGTAAATGTAAGCCCTCAGAAATGGTTGGATACCAGAACTATCTATGTGCACAATTTATGTAATGCTCTTGGAAAGGGGATTTTAGCTAGCTATCGTGTGTTCGACGAGAAACGTCTCTTTTCGAAGAAGTGAGACCAGAACATGTCCACTGAGTCGTTTGTTGTTCCTTGGCATGTTTATAATCGAGAACCGACAATCGAAAGCCAGGATGCTACTGCCAGTACATCCTGGGTTGCCTAGATAATCTTTTGTGTGTCCGTACGCATCCCAAAGCACGTCCACAAATGGAATAATTCAATATCAAATCAGAACATTCTACGGCATATTCCAAAATCTGGACCCGTGGGCATTTGCCTACTATCCACTTTTTGACTTATAATAGGTCAAAAACATTCAAGTGTATGCCTGGTATGAAATATTGGGATTATCTATTTTGGTTATAACAGTTCAACTAAAAACTGATCACAAATAAAGCAGCTTAGATTTGCTAAACTGGCTCGGATCAAGAGACTGGGTGGAGGAATTTATGCTTTTTCACATTCAAGTATAAGTATTTAGAAAAGCCGTTGGACACTTATAGCATACGTGGCACAGAAAAGACAAGAAAGGGCGTAATGGCCATTTCTGCTTTATTAGCCGTCATCATCCAGTCATACCGCGCCACAAATGTGATTCTCTTGAGACAGAAAAGTGGGTCCACAGCTCGATGGAAGTGTCAAACTGCATAACAAAAGATCCCAGGTTAGAATCTTAAGTAATCAACATTTGGGGCTGGGTATGACTAGCTAATGACATCTGGTAAGCCGGAAGTGGCCATCACGTTTCCCCTTGTCTTTGTCGGTACCATTTAATTTACTTCTACTACTGGTCGTTGTGTGACTGTTTGCAAGGGTTCTAGTTTGATCACCAAGTCAATATAGAACAAACACGTTCCGTAACCTGATCGGTGAGCGCTTATCTATCATAACTAATAAGATAGTCAGGAAGGTATAAACTGCATTCCTTAATTTTCTGCCTCTGTCCCCAGGCCGTCTTCAGGCACAAAAACTTCCGAAAGAGTCGGCTTTCGTGACCTATC